AATGGATGCAGGTACAACGGCTCACCAATGCAAGAAGTTATCCTGGCCAGACTATCGGAGTCGAATAACTTTTCGGGAAGATTTGTCAGTGTCACCCAAGTTGGGACTGATTGAAGCGCTGGTTTATCCGGTATGTCATTGGGATCCCATGCAGTGATGAACATAGGACAATCACCCACATACCAGAAGTTCCTCATGAGAATAGATGATTTCAACCTTGCACTCGGTATCTTGAAGAGATAGGCACCTTTTCCCATGTTGTGAACTTTGATCCGAGGTCCTCCTTTTGCCCAAATTGCATTAACAACTCCTATAATCTTACCCATCGTAGGCGGTCTACCATAGAATTGCCCGATTATGAAGTCATCCCACTCCTTTCGTGACGCTTGGAGCATTTCGGCAGTGAAGCTGACTAACGGGATTCCCGTATGGTGTGTCTCGGGAGTTCCTAATTTCCGCAAAGTCTTGATAGAGCTCTGCAGTAGCTTACTCCATGAGTTGCTGGAGTTCTCGTTGGATTTTTGCTGAGGGGAAGCTAGATCCTCAGATTTTTGTCTGTCCTCTGCGGTGTTTGATACCGCTCCAGAGGCAATTTCCACAAGCGCAAAAGCTGGGTTGGCCGACAAAGCGGTCATGGGTGTGGGAGTAGGCGAGATCGGGTTTTGAAATCCCTGATCTGAGATATGTGATGGGCCCCTCTGACCCGGAGGAGAAGCAACTGGTTTCGATGACGGAGTAGCGCGGTGGTCCAGAGAAGGACTTACCGGAGACGGGTGCGGCATTTCACTGACCTGAGCTGAAGTTTCAGTCGAGTCTTCTAGAACTGGAGGCAGAGATCTCTCTCTTGCAGCGGATGTGACAGTAGCTGAGCGGAGGTGAGGGGGCATTTTACCGAATCGACAGTGGGCCGGTCCGGGGGAGGTTTTCCGGCCGGCAGTGGGCCGGCCGGTGGAGTTTTGTGGTTCAGGTGTGGAGTCGCAGCTTCAATCGTCCCAGGAGAGCGTTTGTGATTCCAACCTTGAAGAGATTGAGCTTCATCTTATCTTATGGCCTCTTTCACGAGCACTTGCTGCGGACAAAGTTTGTCGGCTTGTTCTGCCGTTACGGCGGCCTGGCCGAGACTGCTCCTGTTTTGGAACCGATTGACGACAAGCTCGATGTTCTTCATCACATCAAAGCATGGGCCCTGTACATTAATGGACAACCCAGAATACTTTGTTTTGACCACATTAATATGCAAACAAAAAAAAGTTTGGATTCAGATTTCGTTTGAATTTTGATTTAAATTCGGTTGTTTTTATAAAAAAAAGCATTTGTTTTTTCTTAATAAAAGTAAAAGACAGTCGTATGGACTAATTTGGTTCTTGCGATTATGGGAGACAATCAATCATTATGAATGCTGTTGGATTAATAATTAAAATAAAGGGTAATCATTGTTGTCCTTATGGCTCAATTTTTTCTCAGTTATTTTTATTAAATATGGTTCCAAAACAGGTCTAAATTAATTATGTGATAGAGCTACGAATTAGCATTAAATTAAATGCCTATACAAATGGAATTATTAAAAGCTTTGTTCTTTTCGTCTTCAAGCAATTATTAAATGCCTGTACGGCCACGGGTGTAAATGTTTTTCCTCGTAAAAAAACAACAAGTCAAAATTTTTAGACGTGATTATTTATTGATGGCAAAAAAGAAAAAAGAAAAAAGAAAAAACAAAAACATGTGGGTTTCCGTACGCCACCGTGTCACAAGAATTCCGCGGGCTTTGTTCCGGCAAAATAACAAAAATAACCTTAAAAATGACAAGAGTAACATGCATAACCTTAGAATCTCTAGGGTTTCCCAAAAAACCAATATTTTTAATAAAATTACGGAAATACCAGAATAACTAGTCTGACCAAAAATTTTTGGTATGACCAGTATGACCAAATTCAAATGGTATGACCAGTTTGACTGAATTTCGATTAGTTTGACGTTACGAGAAACAATTGGTATCAGAGCAAGGTAACGATTATGGACAACGAAAAAATTGATTTTTCGAAGGGATTACCATTAATATTAACCAATGAAGATGAATGTTATCCCGGATTTCCTTATAAGGGAAAGGTGATAACAATACCTAAAAATCTTCATAATCAAAGCCGATATTATATTGGTACCATCTTTGATGATGATACTAATCATAATCTCGGAAATAAAATAAAGAAAATAGGTTTTACCCTAAATAATATTGTTGAAATGATTTCCTATGGAATCATACATCAAAATCCAGAAAATCATGAAGAAATAAAAAGAAATATTGAAAATATAAAATCAGATCTAGAAAATCAGCTACAAAAATTAATAAAAATATTTGAACAAAACCATGAAAAACAAAATGAAACTGAAAATATAAATAAAAAATTAGAAGAAATAATATATCTACAAGAAAAAAGTATTAAAGAAATAAAACAAAACTCTGAGGAATTAAAAGAATATATTAAAACAATAATAGGATGACAGAAACTATGAAAGAAACTATAGAAAAAATAATTAAAGAAACAACAGCTGAAATAAAAGAATTACTACTAAATATTAAAGAAATACTCACAACAACAAATAATTACAGTAATAATAACAGACAAATTCAAATAATAAAAGAACTTAACGAAGCTAAAGAATTAGTAAATAATATTATTACACGAAATAACGGAAAAGAAATAATGGATCCAGATAAAAATGAAAAACCAAAAATATTAGAAATAATAGAACAATTACAAGAAATAATCGAACGACTTAACCAAAATAGATATATCACTATAAAAGACTTACAAAATTATTTTAAAAAAGAAACAAAAGAATTAATTATTATCGATAAATCTAATTTTCGAATTAGATCACCACCAAAGATATAATGGAAGGACTAGATGATCAGATAGAAAGATTATCAACATTATTAGCGGCTCTTAATATACCCGAAGAAGAGCAACCTGATGAAACTGAAAAAATT